AAGGTGGTAGCCAAGAAGCCTCTGTGGCTTGTGGCTTTGCTGGGTCCTTTATGTTTGTGGTGCAGATGATACTGATTTATTTTTCACCCTTTTGTTTTTAGAAGAAGAAAACAGCTGAGCCTGAAGGATTGTGAAGAAGGTACATGGCCTGTGGGGACTATCAGTTGGTACCTCTGAACAGCGGTAACCGTGGCCAAATTCAGTTCTCCTGGGCCAGTCTTGGGAAGACAGTGTGCCCTGTAAATGCTCACTGAGTCAGCCTGGCTGTAGATTAGAGAGCCAGGGAGTCGAGCGGTGTAAGGAAAGTCATGCAGCAGTGTGTTGGCTTCTCTGGATGTGTTTGACCTCAACTCTGTAGCTGCTGAGAACTGGATGTCCAGCCTGGACCTTGCTGTCCTCTGTCATCAGCAGAGATAAGCAGCCTCTGGCAGTGTCTGTCCCTGCTTACCACAGGGAGCTTGGAAAAGTAAAGTGGATTAGATAATGATGTAGCCACCTGGAAGTGGACCAGATGACTCTGCCCTTGCTCTGCTCAGCTGTAAGGCTGTTACCTGCCTCCCCATCCCTAACTCTTTTTAACTCCTCTCCCCAAAGGTACCACATCCCTGTGATTAAGGATTTATGGGTGAAGATCAAACAGAAGAGAGGAAAAGGAAGCTCATCTGGAGAATTGCAACTTTTTTTTAAATAATAATTTATAACTTCTTTTAACTGTGACTTCTAGAGCAGAGCAGCGTAACTTTCTGCCTCCTTCTGCCCTGCTGGGGCCCACAGACGTGTTTATTGCCCCTCCTGATGGCTCGCTTGTTGCACAAGAACTGAACTGAAGGAGGCAGTTTGACCAGAGAAGAGCCAGCTTGCATAAACTGCTTTCCTCCTAGTTGACACCCAACCTTCTCTCTCTCATCACAGAGCTATATTTTTCAGAGAGACTTTTACCCTCCCCCCCACCCCCCTTCTGTGATTTGTGGTGTCAGTCCTTTTGCTACTATGGAAGAGAGCTCTTGAGTTTACTTTTTATTCTAACACTGATGACAGTGATTATTGTGTCCCTGGAGTTGCACTGAACAGCTGTGTCCAGCAGCTGTTCTCAGCCAAGGTGGCGTAAATTTTGTGGGTTTTTTTTAATGGAATACAAAATAAATAAAAAAAAAAGGTGAGATTTTTGGCTTCAGCTGCTTTCAAGGGAAGGGAGGTGACTAAGGGCAGGCCAGGAGGGCACGGCAAGCGCTGGGGCTGAGCCATCTCTGGAGGATGTTGCAGGTGGGAGAGCAGAGCCCAGCATCTGCCCAGGTTCATGCGCACTGCTTCAACCCCTGGGGAAAAATTAATTGCTTTCTGCCTGCTCCCTGAGGACAAGCAGATGCTGTTGCTCCTCAGCTTTGAACTACATGTTCTAGTGTTGGTTTGGTTTGGTTTTGGTTTTTTTTGTTTTTGTTTTTTGTTACTGAAGTGCTGTGTAGGGGCAGGCACTGAGACTAGGTGTGTGCATCACCCTGTATGGAGCCAGCCTGCTGCCTACCCTGCACCTTGTACTGGGCTTGTGCCTGGTTTCCTCACTTCCCTCCCAGCCCTGGGGTGCAGAAGGTGAGGGGGAAAAAAAAGACCGGATCCTCTTGTGCTCCTCCCTCCCATGCTGTGCAGCCTGGTGCCGGGCTGTGCTGGTGAGGGCAGAGTTCTCCGGCTGCCACCCTCGCACCTGCACAACCCAGGTGCAGGAGGGAGATGGCTCCTGGTGCAGGGGGCTGCTCTCCTCCTCTCCCCCCACGCTGTGACTCACTTAAAGGTGACTTCAGCCTCCTGGGCCGTGCTGGGGTACAGGGGGACCCTGGGGTGCGGAGGAGATAAGTGATGAGCCGGGAATGTGGCAAGGAATATGCACAATCCTGGGTGGGGGCACAGGTGTCCAAGTGTCTTTGCAGAGATTTTTCTTTTTGCCTTTTTTCTTAAGATTCCTTTATGGACAACCTAGGACAGCTGCAAACTTGCAAGCACTGCCCTGCTGAAGTTGCTTACAAAGCTTTCTTACTCAAAAGTTTATTTGAAATAAGGTAATTTATAAAGGAACTATCAGATTCAGAAAAACCAGAAACCCCTCTGACTCCTGGGTCAGCCCCTCTCCCACCATTACCCACTGCTGTGGCTGCTCTCCAGCCTGAAGGCAAAAGCTGGAGGTGAACATCTATCTACAAAACTGAGCGTTCCGCAGTAAAGACCCTCTACTCCAGTAATCTAACAGGGCGTTATCTACGGGGGTCAGTTAAGAAGCTGGTGGAGGTTGTTTTGCTGCTTTTAATGTTCATTCAGCGTAAGAAAGCATTAGTGGCTCGGTCTTCAGCAGGGGTGAGTTCTGCGCCTGCCATTGCCTGGGTGCTGTGGGATGCCGATGAGCAAAAGGGAACAGGATTTATGGGACTGCCATCGTTGAAATCATTTTCCAGCCTGCTTTACCCACCCTCTGAGGGAACGCGTTGTCCCTAGCACTGGTCCTGGTGGCAGCTCAGCCCCGTCTGATGCCCTGCAGCAGGGGAAGGGACACACAGTGGTGCCCACTGTTAATCGCCTTGGAAAAGCAGTGTAAGAGCAGAAGTGAAATAGAGAAAAAAAATAAAACAGGAGCTGGGATGCTGAAGATGGGACAGGCATCCGCTGGCATCCTCTTCTACTTGGCTGTTGGGGGAGAAGGAGAGGGAGTCAGTAAGATGGCTCCAGAACCTCCCAAAGCCCAGCATGCTTTTGCCATGTCTCCATCACGACCTGCACCTCCCCAGCAGGGCTTTGGTGATGCTCTGGCTCTTGGGGGTGGACCCATACCTCCCTCAGCCCCCAGGGCTTTCCACTTCCTCATCCCACAACCAACCATGCTTGGACTCACCTTTCTCCGCGCTCAGCTTGGGCATGTCCACCCCGGAGAAGATCATCTCCTCTGGCTCTGTGATGGTGGCGTCAGCATCTGCAGAGGGAGGGCAGGATGTGGGTTCTGGACCCCTGGGGCTGCCCCATCGCCCCCAACCCCTCTGAGGGCAGCAGGGGAGAGGCTGCAGCAACCCCATGAGCCATGGGCTTGGGGGCAAGGGGGGGCTCATGGAAAACCTTGACTGCATGCCTCAGCTCTAGCTGCAGCTACCCAAGGAGGTCTCTGGGTTTTAGGGTTCACTCCAGCCTTAACATGCCAGCACCAAAGAGGGGTGAGGGATGCTCGCTACAGCCTGGGCACCCTCCTCTCCTCTCCCTGGCAGCTCTCCTCCTCCTTAATCGCAAGCAAAATGGGGGGGCCAGCATCCATGCACACTGCTTGTTCCTCTCCTTCCCCTCCCTGGTGACCTACCGGGGCAGTCCAGCTTTTCCCGAGTCGCAGTGCCCTCAATCTTGGTGCCATTTTTGTAGGAGCACCAGCAGTAGCCCGTGGCGGCATCGCACTGCTTGGGCAGGTAGTCACCGTTCTCATCGCACTGCGGGTGGAAGCGACCCGGCCAGACACCCCCAGAATTGGCCTCTGCCTGGCACTTAGTTTGCACTAGGGCAATAAAAACAAAGGGGAGACACCGTGAGCCCCCCGCCCCGGCAGCCTCGGTGGGAGCTTTTTATTCAGAAGCAGTTAAATTAAATTTAAAAGGTGAACAGGCCCCATCCCGGTGACCTTTCTAAAGCTCTTGGGCTAGCCGAGGGCTGAGGATTTGGTGTGGTGCTCTGGATTCTCAGACACTGGAGTTTGCACTAGGGCAATAAAAACAAAGGGGAGACACCGTGAGCCCCCCGCCCCGGCAGCCTCGGTGGGAGCTTTTTATTCAGAAGCAGTTAAATTAAATTTAAAAGGTGAACAGGCCCCATCCCGGTGACCTTTCTAAAGCCCTTGGGCTAGCCGAGGGCTGAGGATTTGGTGTGGTGCTCTGGATTCTCAGACACTGGCTCATCCCAAATGCCCTGCTGGCAGCAGGCAGTGGCTCTGTCGTGTCCCAAAAGCCACCACCCCGAGGGTCCCCATGGAAGGAAGAGGTCCGTGATCGGTCAGGGGACGGAGGGTTCAGTTGCCTTTGGGAAGGCAACTGTTCTGGCACCTCCTGGGGGTGGTTGCTCCCGAAGGGCCAGTCCCGACCCTCCCCAGCCCAGCACCTCCCCATCCCTAATACCTTTCTCTGCCGGGATCTTATGGTCCTCCTTGGGCTTCTTGGCCATTTCAAACAGCAGCCACTTGTGCATCCAGGATTCAAAGGCCTGCAACAAGGGGAACCAGCACATTAACAGCACAGGGAGGGGTGCACGATGGGGGAGCCGTGCTGCGAGCTCCAGGTTGGGCCAAGGAAGGTCCTGAGCACCACCACCTTCCTTGGGGTGGGAGTAACCCAAGCCTGGCTCAAGCAGGACTTTGTTTTTCCAGGTAGGGACACCCCAGTGCCTCCCCAAAGTGGGCTGCTCCTGGAAGGGGAAGGGTAGGATGGCAGCAAGACCCCCCCTGCCAGTCCGCAGCCGTCATGGTTTTCTTCAGGTTCTTCAGGTTGCCCATCAGGTTGTCCTTCAGCTCCGGGAACTGCTTCCTGGGGTCTGTTTGCTGCAGAGCAACCACCACAGTGAGACAGAGGGACGAAAAATGAGGTGGGGGGTAGGGGTGTTGAAGTTCTGCTTATATCAGCGAGATGGACATCACAGGAGGCCAGGAGCTCCCACCAGCTCTGAACACCCCAAGAGCCCCCAGACCCAGTGAGCTGGAAGCAGAGGGCCCCATCATCTCCTGCAGCACGGTCAACGGAGGGGGTGGTAGGGAAGCAGGGGACCTTACCAGCAGCAGATGCTTCACTTGGTCCTCAGTTTTGTTGCTAGGGGGGGCCATGTCCTTAAGAGAAAAGGCAAAGGGGTAGCGTGAGCGTGGGGGCTGGCAGCAAGCCCTGAGGGCAGCGGGCAGTGCCAAGCAGGGGTGGGCATCTCTTACCATGTCTGTAGAGGAGAGATGAGACAGGACCCCCATGGTCAGGGGGGTGCTCACCATGACCATCTTCCTCTTGTTCACCGGTTTGGCACCTGCCGAGGAAAGAGCGGTGT